AAGATGACATATGCATGCAACATGTTTGACATATGACAAATGGTGAATAAATGATCAGAACTTTTGTAACATAGTGAGGGCAAATTTGATATGTGATGAATGAAGCAAAAAAGCCCAAGGCTAGAGAACGCATGAAAGCATATGAGGTGACATGATATTTTCCTCAAAAGTACAGAAATTGAAAGTATTCCTACAGTCAACTATTTCAAGAACAATGTTGAATTAGTAGCATTACAGAATCTCTAGAAATGAGGGTTAACTGTTCTTCAATAATGTCATCTCCTGTTGAGTAAGAAGTGGAGAGCCAAGCTCAAAAGACAGGTGAAACTATGAGAATAGAGAATGTGCATAGCAACATACAGATAGGACTAACTTATAGGAAGGAATATCATCAAGCTCAGTTATTTTGTTATTTTCTGTTGGGAAGAAACTAATAGCTGTACATGATATACACGGCTAGATAGTACAAGTGAAACCCGAGTCACGAAAAAAGAAACTGCATACAGGAGTAATTTTCATAGCAGTCTGTTGGTACAAAACAAGACTGGATTATATTCCAAAATGACAAGTACTTAACATCCTTCATTGATAGTTGGTCAAGTTATTACAGAAAATTCATGCATCATCCACATATGATGCTGTTCAGCAACTTTCTGTGTGTTGTACTGCCTTATCAAGTTTAAAACATTGAACACAATCACATTATAATTTCATTTAATACTATGAAGATGAGGTGGAGGATCCATCAATAAGAATGCAGCACAAAACAATTCAGATAAATGTTCTTGAGCAGAATAACTTACCTGCCCACAACTGATAAATAAGGCAGCAAGCCGCTCTTCAGTGATCTTTTGTTTTTAAGAGGTAAGAGAACTCGTCGGTTAGAATCCTGAAAAACTTGTTAAAATATAACATCACATAATATAACTCATCAATTTCATCCTTACATTGTGATCAACATCAGAAACATAGACAGTTCGCCTGATGCTGGCTTCCCTTTGAGCTCTGAAAGCTTTGCCACTCGTTCTCCTCTTGCTTGAGTTGTTATAACTTTTTCTCTGGCAAAACAGAAAATATTGGTGCAGAATCAGGGGGAAAAAAATCAATTAAAAGGAAAAAGAAATATTCTATTGGTAGTAACCAAACTAACTTTCAATAAATGAATTAAGATTTTAAAGACAGGCATAAAATCAATTAAAAGTTGCAAAACTTAATTTCTCAAATTGGCAAATCGAAAATAATTGATTCGTCCCAAGGTTTGACAAAAACAGTCACTCCCCATGCTGACACTCTACATAAGAAAATTAATTCTGCAAGTACAAACCAAACTCAATCTTGCACCTGGAATAAAGTAATGGTAAATCACTACGACCCATTTTTATTGCCACATCTGGTTCAGAGATGCTAGTTTCAGTATGTGGATTAGCTAAAAGAACAATATTTCCAAGTTCCAGAATTTAAAACAAACTAATAAGGATGTAAACTATCAGTCAAGACAATACAAACAGGTCCATAATATATCAATATAGTGACTATTAGAGGGTTAGTTTCTAGCATTCATCTTTTAAACACGAGTTTGAGGTTTATGCTAATAGGTGTATAATCCAGAAATATTGGATGCCAGAAACAAGAATAATCATTGAAATGCCCATAAACAAATCAATCAAAAAGATGGGAATTAGTAAATCATCACCAACAACAGAGAAACTAATCATTCAACAAAAGGGCATGTTTCAGAATGAAAGAGGGAGAAAATCGTATATATACCCTCCGATTATTTGCTAAACCATCATTTCCCAAAGTTTTATTGGAAAACACGACACTATGAGCGCCCATTTGACCATAATTATAAGAGGAAGGAAAGAACTCCTTAGCCAGGGGATTCAGTTTGAGTTTGTTCAGCATGTCAACAATATCCTTCACTTTGAATTCCGATTTCGAATCGGCATTTGAGTCCACATCAGAGCCCTTTACCCCATTAGTATCGCGAGATTCCTCAGACATCCCAGAATAAGAATTTTCACTTTTCTCCACGCCTTTTTCACTATCAGGGCCACGGTCTTTTGGTGATGAAGGCTCAACAACAGCTGCTGGAGAATTCATCTCCAAAACTGCGGCCTCACCAAAAACCTCGGAACCAGCTGCCATTAAAATCGATAGAACAACACAAAATGGCTGAAAATCGATAAATTGAAGAGACCAAAGGACCCAAAAACACTATCCAAACAGAAATTCAGTCTTTAGCTCTAAGATCTTTCTTATGTTTGTGTTCGGTGAAAAACCCAGTAACGTATCTTTATGGAAATATAGAGATCAGTCGAGAAACGGATGTGTTTTCCGCTCAGGTTATCAGATTTCCGTGACCTCCGTGTAAAAACCTGGGCTGATTATCTCAACACATGCGTGTGCATATAATCGATGGAGGAGGCTAAAACCAAGAACCCATTTGGTGAAAATGGAAGCAAGAAACAAAGAGAAAGATCTAGAGAGAAAATGGATGAAATAAGAACAAGATTATGAAAATGATGCAACAAATTTCAAGGGTTCCTGTGTAACAAATTCATGATCACAAGTGGTAGAGGTTTAGGTGATGGTTTAAGGAAGGAACCAACATGTGGGCTTGGCTTTCGGCACTTAAACACACACAACACAAAGGTTTTTACTTTTTCCACATACTCGCGTATTTTTTACATACGGTGCCATAAATGGAGGAGTTGAAAGTGTATTAAAGTTGAAGTGCGTTATAAATGGTGGATAAGCCAAACGTAAAACAATTGATTTTAGTTTATTATTATTATTATTATTATTGTTATTCGAAAATATACGAACAACATATTTTTTTTTTTTCGAAAATATACGAACCACATATTATTTTTTTTTTCAAACGTATTATTTGTTGTATATAGAAGGTTGGCTCTACTATGGAGCCAACTATTGGCTTCATAACAAAACCCGTATTCACAAAATAAACAATAATAGAGAGCAATCACTCAGGCGAATTAACAACCAACAGTCAAATGAAATGGTTAAATTGCTGGATTTAGTTGAAAGGACTACACAGACAGACTTAATTTATAACCAACCTAAAAACAACACAAACCACTAATAAACTTCTAGAAGGAGACAACAAAAGCTCTCACGAGTGGAGAATACATCAAAGGAGACTAACAAAAGCTCTCACAAGTGGAGAATACACCAAAGGCACTCCCAGCAAGAGAGAGAGAAAAAATACAACCTAAACACAAAGAACATAAAACAATAGAACAACACCTACAACAACCCTTCCCGCAACAGGAAGCCTAACCAAATGAAACGATAGTGACACTAACCGACATCCATCCTCACGGACAAGGTTACGGCCCACGAACCCGACCCAGAAACTGCAAGAGAACGCCTAACTAGGTCCGACACCAACGGACCCAACCCCACTCCAAACGGACATCCCCACCACTCTGTCCGACGCCATAGACCTAGAAATCGGCAACAGAAAACCAGGCCCCGGCCTACGACGCAACTGTGCCCTCTGCCCAACACCAGAGCAGAAGACGACCACGATTGAAGGGGCGAAAACCCACCACTATAAAATCTTAGATTGGAAAAATTGAAGTCGCATCTCGCTCCTGAAGAAAGGCTGGAGGACCGCCAAAGCGAAGAATCAAGAATTCGGCTGCCCGTCACACCGTCCAAACGCTAGATTCACGGCAAAACCGAGATTGGGACGAGTGTCTCCTCCTTCCTGGCGAATAAATCCACCTCCAAGCGGCGATTATTCAGGAGACGGGTCGCGGGGCCCAGGACATCACCACCGACCGATCGAAATGTCCCGTTGGGGAAGGCGTCAGGAACGAGAGTCGAAGACGCTAGACTGGAAAAAGAGGGGTTTAGGCAGCGAGATTTTCGGCAGGGCACAATTATTATTATTATTATTATTATTATTATTATTATCATTATTATTATTATTATTATTATTATTATTATTACATAAATAATTTTTGTTTTTATCTATGGTGAAGGTTTTCTATAAATAAATCTATGGAAATTTTCCTGCCATTTTTAATTTCTTTATATGGTAATTTCTTTCTTAATAAAAAATCTATAGTAATATAAAGAAGTTGTTGGAAAAATACTTTTATAGTAAGTTTGACTAAAAAAATAAATGATTTGACTTACTATTAGTGGAAATTTTGAAAAAACATATGTACCAAAAAAATTGAGATTTTTATGGTAACAAATTTGAAGATTTTTATGGTAACAAAGTTAATTGAGATATCCCAAAAAAATTGAAGATTTTTATGGTAACAAATTTGGAGATTCCTATACCAAAATTAAATATATTTTAAATATTATTTCATAGGAATCTACTTTTATTGGTAACAAATTTGAAGATTGTTATGCCAAAAAATTGAGATTTTGAATTGAGATATTCCAACAATTACGGATTTTTTCCCATTCAAATTAATGTTGTAAATCAAACAAAAAATTATTCTAAAAATAATGGATGTTACACCAACTATTGATAAACTCCAATCTCATATGAGATTTCTATAGGATTCTTATGTTAACAAATTGGAGATTCTTATGCCAAAAAATTGAGATTTTGAATTGAGATATCCTAACAATTTTGGATTTTTTCCCCTTCAAATTCATGTTGTAAATCAAACAAAAAATTATTCCTTGAATAATGGATGCTATACTAAATATTGATAAACTCCAATCCATAGGAGATTTTTATGGGTTTCTTATGGTAACAAATTTGGAATTCTTATACCAAAATTTAATTCATTTTAAATATTAATCCCATAGGAATCTATTTTTATTGGTAACAAAGTTGAAGATTATTATGTAAAAAAATTGAGATTTTGAATTGAGATATCTCAACAATTACGGATATTTTTTTCATTCAAAATTAATGTTGTAAATCAAACAAAAAATTATTCCGAGATAATGGAATGTATACTAAATTAATATCACTGGGCCCACACGTTAATATGATATTAATTAGATAGATAAATTACGTAAATCTTTCCTAACAAAATGCGTTCCAATATTGTTAACCAATTTAATGGGATTTTGTTAACTAATTTGATAGGATTTTGGTAACCACGGGATTTTGTTAACTTTTCATGGAAACACGTATCTTCATTATTGATAAGGTTTGATAAGATTTTGTTTCCAATTTTTTTTGTTTTTTTTTTCCTCTCTCGAAAATTTGATAAGGTTTGATAAGATTGTGTTTCCTTTTTTTCTCTCTCTCAAAAATTTGAGTTGTGGATTTGAAAAAAAAAATAAATAAATAAAATAAACATATCATATTGATAAAGTTTTAATGTGGGCATAAAAATTAATTTTTATTTGATTGAACTTTGTTTCATATAAACCTAAGAGAATCAGACGTTTGAAAAAATAAAATATTAATAGTACATAATCATACCATATTTGTAAGGTTTGATTTGGAATATTGAGGCATAAAAATCAATTATGATTTGATCAAATTTTTTTTTATAGAAGTTACTTAGAAAATTTTACACGTTTCAAAAAATTAAAGATTATAATTTCGTAAATTAAAGTTTTAGATTTGTCCAAACAAATAGGAAAATATTAAAATAAAAATATTATTTTTCAATCTATCCAAAAAGTCTTACCAAATTTCATTGTAACAAACTCCATTATTTTTGGCTACATAATCTTCTAAATATTCGTTCGTCCCTCACAAGTGAATCACGTTCCACATTTTTTTTTATTTTTTTAACAAATCTGGTACCACATATTTTTAGAAGTCAATCATAATCATATTAAAAAAATTTAGATCGGATCATATTAAATACCTTACGTAAATATTTTTTTTATTTCCCTGACATATGGCACATAAACATGACTATATAAACATCACCAACGTTGAACAAAAAGTATTCGACATCCAATATATCCCACAAAATAATTTTTTCTACAAGCTACATCACCATTGAAAATGGCTTCGGATTTTGGAGTAATCAAGGATATCAAAAGATCCAATAAGTCACCAATCAAGCTATGCATAATTAGGATGTTCTAACGAGTTGAAGACGTACGCAATTACCGAAATGTTCTTGAGATTATCTTTCATCATTTTGAGGTAATATATTCTTTTAGTATCATTTAAATGCATCATTTTATGCAACATCTTTTATAATTTATTTATTGAATTATTCATTATGCAATGTTTTAGGGAGGACGAATTACTGGCATAATTCGACCTGTCAATATCCAAAAAATCATCGGTGATATTAAAGAAGGTGGCGCTTATATCTTGACAAACTATCAAGTGGAAAGCAATATTGGCATCCATAAATCGACGATAGGAAAAAGAAGGATCATTATCAATGATCAAACCAAGATTATCAAATGGAGGGGTGATTTATCAAATGGAGGGGTGATTTTTCTATTTCTAACTTTAATGGATGTTCGTAACATTGATGAAGTCATGTTGTTTGGTACGTTATAATTTTTTTATTTATTTTTTATTTCGATTATTTTTAATTTAAAATCTGTAATAAACTATTTTATATGTTATACATTTCAATATGATGCATTTTCTTATATTTTTGTAGATGTTATTAGATTGGTTGTTTCCCATTATATTTTCTTAAAAGTCATGACTATAATTAAAAGTCAATGTGGGCTTACGAAACCAGTATTTAGTCATGGCCAATCATATGTTGTTGTCTCCCGTGTCACAAACAGAAATAGGGTTGAAAGTCCTAATTTGTGGTGACGATGACGTGCCAAAGAATCAAACCATGTACCTTGTATATAAGGAAGTGTTCAATTATATATAGATTTTATTATCATTGTATTTATTAATTTATTTATTATTAATGGCATGATCTTTCCTTTAGTAAGTACTTTGAATTTTAACTGAACATTGCTTTATAAAAGGGACGGAGATAATAAACTCCCGTGCATCGCACGGGGACTGTACTAGTTAACATAAATAAGTTAATATGTTGAACTTTCTATAATCTTCATATTTATTCATTTTCTAGGTCAAAATGTTGAACTTTCCATAATCTACTAAGTGTTTTAATTATTTTTTGTCAAATTTAAATATATAATTAATAATAAAATTTACTTATCAAAATCTATATTTTTTCTCAATTGTTTTGGGCTTGTTTGGATAGCAATAAAAGGTGTGAATGATTTGAAATCCGTAGAAAAGGCTAAAAAAATTTACTTTGTTCGGGAAAAAATCATAACTTTCCAAGTTTTAAAAAAAGATTCCATAACAGCAACTGACCGCATTGAATTCCATTAATGCTCGCATTGTTTTTGCTTCTACAACAAACCTCTTTCCATCTCATAATCCCCCATTACTTCATTCTTTGAATGTTCTGCAAAATTTTAAAGGAAAACTACTAAAAATGAATCTTGATTTTTCTTTTTTTTTTCGTTTCAAAAGGTAAAAATCCCAGAAAATGTCGAGCAACTCAGAAAGCCCCGTGGGCTGACGGGTTTCTACAAGAAGATGAAGCGATTGAGACTGTTGGAGCCGTGGGTCGGGATTCTAGAGCTGACGATTTGTGTCATTTTGGAGTTTTTTGTTTGGATTACGGAAGCGTAGCGAACGGGTCACAGGCTTCCAAACGAGAGGTTCTGTGGCTCCAATTCGACGGCGGGGGCTGTAATAGTAGAAAGATTGATTTTTTACGGAGGCTACCGGTGGGTCTGACGTGTTGGACGTAGGGAAAGAAAAATAAATGTGAAGAAGAAGAGAAATAATAAAAACAAATTAGCTATAAAATTGAAAAGGTGGAGAAGTACTCAGAATGATGATATATCGAAGATGTATGTGCCTAATCAGATTACAGAAAATGAAAAATAAAAACAACCTCCAAAAATTGAAAGAGCCAAAAGATACTTACAAGGGCATAAAACGGAAACTAAAATAACTGACTTAATATTATACAGATGCATTATTGTAAACAAATATTTAAAAAGTCAAGGAATGTCTTTATTTCTCATTCAACTACTTTGACTTAATATTATACAGACGTATTATTGTAAACAATTATTTAAAAAGATCAAGAAATGTCTTTATTTCTTTATTTCTCATTCAAAGGATTTCAAATTACAAAGAAAGTTGAGTCATGCAAGCCCTCCTCCTCTTAACCAAGAAAACAAAATACACTCTGAATATACTCTGAATCTTAGTTCATACTCAAATCGCTAAGTTCTCTTCACTCAAACGTATGAATATGGTTTTTCTCTCATTTTCCATCAAGTTTCATTCATCACAAGAGTGATTGGAATCTTCATATCATATCTCTTCACTCAAACGTATGAATATGGTTTTTCTCTCATTTTCCATCAAGTTTCATTCACTCAAACGTATGAATATGGTTTTTCTCTCATTTTCCATCAAGTTTCATTCATCACAGAGAGTGATTGGAATCTTAGTTCATATCATATCTTCTCTCTCAAATAGTTGGTTTTTCTCTTATTTTCCACCAAGTTTCATTCATCACAAAGAGTGATTGGTAGGATTCATGGTTTTCTATTAGAACATGACATTATAGATTGATTATTGTTGAAAGAGTTGGAACGAGTGTTCTATTTTGTATACAAAGTATTATATTTTCTACACAAAGCCAAAGATTTTCTTTGTATTTTATATGTTAGATCAATCATCTTTATTTTTGTTCACCTTATATATTTATGTGTACAATATTAAATAATAATTATAAATTAAAGAAGTGGGGTTTACCATGTGATGTAATTTACCATGTAAAACTATTTTGTCTAAGATAACATAAAACATGTATGTTTAAAATATTAAAAACATTTACAATATTATATAGCATATACAAGATTATCTAAAATATTATATATTATTCATAAAAAATGTGAATTCACCTAAAAATTATTGTGTAACCAAAATATGTTTAAGGACATTTAAATTTAACATCTATATATATATATAGAACATAATCTATAGAATGTGTAAAAAATTTGCCCAAATAACATGTTTAAAAGTATATAAAATTTGCCACAAATTCACCTTAATCCAAACAAGGAAATTCAAGGTAATGAATTTGAAATCAAATAATTTTAAAATCCTTTCATTTGAACAAATATTCTATGGAGCAATCGTATGGTTTTCTTATGGAGTCATCCACCACTTAATGCATTAACACATGTCCAAATTGTATTTATTGCAGGACACGTGTCAATACACTATTGATGAATAAGTGAGGATGACTCCATAAGTCGAGACATCCGATGACTCCATAACACGTGCCAATACACTAGATTTGATTTAATTTTTTATTGTTCTTGTATTAATGATTATTTTAATTAGTTGTTCTTGTATTATTGATTATTTTAATTAGTCCACCTATATAATTTCTTATCAAATTGATGCATTGGAGATACTAGTTTGATTCAAATTTCTACTCTTTTAACATTATTCCTACATGAATTAACATTACAATAATTGATTGACATGTGTTAAAAATCATTGTCTTTCAAAGTTATAACATTGGAGATGCTCTAACTAACACGAGTGTTCTTTTGTTGTGTCAATGAATCATATAGTAAATACAATAAGATAATGTTGTTAGTATGCAATTTTTTGTTTAAAACGGTCTAATTTAGGTAAATTGAGTAGTTATACCACTTTTATATTCATATCACTGTTATTAAATGACACACTTTTATTAATACTGTTTATAGTATAAAGTATAGCATTTTAATTTAAAATAAACTTTTAAAGCATAGCATTTCTGAAACAACAAAGCACCGAGTGGAAGCTCGTCCAGATAAAAACAAAAATCAGCATCACATCCAATGTTGTTCAGTTTATCACAAAAACAAAAACTTCAACTGAACTTATTATCTATCTACTAATAAAAGTTACAATTTCATTTAAATTACGGCGAACAGTTAGTGGCAAGTTGCAACACAGTGCTAAATGGTCAGAGGCATAACTCTGATCATTGTGCATAAAAAACCCGATTTCATCAGACAAAAACTCGTACCTACCTAGACCTGTAACAAGCAGTTCTTCTTCAACAACATTCAAATCATTAACCATATCACACTCAGCCTCCATAGCCAATTCTGCCTAGAAAATACTCCAAAAGAAGAAAAAAAAGGACAAAACAAAACAAAACAATTAAACTAATAAGATTCAAACCAGACCTTAACTAGACTCTACTGACACAACTGCTCAACAGCCGCCACAATCTGCGGCGGCTGAACCACCGTCCACTCCTCCAACGTCCCCGCATACGGCGTCGGCACGTCCTGCGACGAAAGACAAACAATCGGCGCATCCAAATAATCCTGAAAATTCTCGTTTATCGCCGCTGTCAGACTCGCCCCAATCCCTCCCGTCCTCATACACTCCTCCACGATCACCACCCTATGTGTCTTCTTCACCGAACTCCCGATCGCGTACAGATCAAATGGCTTCAACGACCGTATATCAATCACCTCCGGATCATAACCCTTGTTCACCAAACTCTTGGCCGCCTGCATCACGTGATACCTCATCCGCGAATAAGTCAATATAGTGACATCATTCCCGGGCCTCACCATCTCGGCCTCTTCGAGCGAGAGCACGTACTCCTCGTCCGGAATACGCTCCTTGAGGTTGTAAAGAAGGACATGCTCGAAAAGCACCACCGGATTTTCACTTCGGATAGCGGCCTTCATGAGGCCCTTGGCGTTGTACGGCGTCGAGCACGCGACCATTTGGATGCCCGGGATTGATTGGAAGTACGACTCGAGGCGTTGGGAATGCTCGGCGCCGAGCTGGCGGCCGACGCCGCCGGGCCCGCGGATTACGGCGGGGATGGTGAATTGGCCGCCGGAGGTGTAGTGGAGCATTCCGCAGTTGTCGGAGATCTGGTTGAAGGCGAGGAGGAGGAAGCCCATGTTCATGCCCTCGATTACGGGCCGGAGGCCCGTCATGGCGGAGCCCACGGCCATGCCCGTGAAGGAGTTCTCGGCGATGGGAGTGTCGAGGACGCGGAGGTCGCCGAATTTTTCGGCGAGGCCTTTGGTGACTTTGTAGGAGCCTCCGTAGTGGCCCACGTCCTCGCCCATCACGCAGACGCGGGGGTCGCGGTCCATTTCCTCCTCGAGGCCTTCGCGAAGGGCTTCGAATAGAAGGAGCTCGTGCCTGTTGATTTCATAGAGTGGTTGCGTGTATTATTTTTTAGCAACAAAAAATATATCCTCTATTCTGTTTAAATGTCATTTTGGCTTTATCAACCATCTAACCAAATAAATGATGTTTTGGATTTTTGTACATATTTTTCCATTATTATCCTAATTTAGCTAATAAATACACTACCGTCTTTTCATATTCACTCCTCATCTTTTCTCAAAACATTCATCTCTATCTTCATTAATGAGGGTTATTATTGGCAACAAACAGATTAATGTGCAACTTCTCAAAACGACACTTATTATGAATAGGAGAGAGTAGAATTTATTTACGAAACTCAGCTTTCTTTGGAAGGACGACTATATATATGAATAAGTCTTTTCAATGCACTTGAGAAACAAACATCAAACCCATAATCCATAAGATCAACAAGAATAAGACAAAACTATGTTTTTCAGAACATTGCAGTAGTCACCATTCAGTAGTCAGATTGTCCGGTAAACTGATTAGAAATTAGTTTGTATAACTTGTACGTACTTTTGTATTGTCAAGTTGTTTGTCATGTTTCAGCTATTAGATTCGATGGGTGTACCTTCGGGGACATCCGGTAAAATTGGAAAGATACAGAGAAGATTAGCATGGCCCCTGCGCAAGGATGACACACATAAATCGAGAAATAGATTTGATGGGTCTGCACTAGTTAAAACTCAGAGACCAGTTACAAAAGGCTAAGGCAATGTCAAGAGATTTACTATAGTATTCATCATAATATGCCGATCGGTTGTTGACAAATAAGAATCGGGGAAACTTTGATGATGAAAAGTGGAAATTTAAGGTGATAAGAGAAGAAAACCCGAAATGATTTACTGCTTCCCAGATAGAATGAACTTGTCCAAAATAGATATGTCCATACTTAAGCCACTGACAACTCTATACTATAATCTAAATTATTGCAAGAAGAAATAAAAAGTAATACATAGCATCTAATGGAATCAGTCGGTCCAAATCTCAAGATTAAACAAAATTGATATCCCAAAAATTATGCACCGAATATTCTTAATGTTTAATTTCCTTTCATTCTATCATTTCTATCACTACATTACAAATGGTAATAGTAAATAGTAAATGTGGATACATGATACAGGATTAGTTTCTATGTGCTTTCAACTAAGTACGACAGACCTTACTAGATCAGTTCCTCCAATTAATTTTAGATAAATCTCGGGAGGTAGTTAATGAATTGTATGGTAGTTTTGATTTATAACTCACACTATACAAAGCCTGTCGTACTCTCTGGAGAGTCAACCTCACATATGTATTCCTTGGTGATTAAAAAGGTCATTATATACTTAAAGAAAACAGCTCATGATCAGATAGGTAAAGCAAGCCAACTCTTGATACGAGCAGAGGTGTATTAAACAGGCCACTCATAGACATTGTATACTTATGCTTATGAATCTCATCAATCACCAACAAGAAGGACATTCTAGTAAACATATAGATAAAATTCCTAACATGGCAGATGTACTGCACACAAACATAACAAAAAAAGGTAAGATAATTTGGAACCTTACCCAGGTTTCGAAGCTGCCGATACAGAGTTCTCAGTCTGCAGAAACACAAAGGACACAAAATTCAACACACATAATAAAACACAACCCAACAGACTAAGTGAAATACTAACAGAACATACTAAAAGGGTAAATTAGAGCACTGACCGCAACAGCTTTGGTAATGAGCTTCACGGGCATGGGAGTACCAGATACCCGATTCAAAATTGGGCTTCTATCAGCTCTGATAACTGATGACAAAGGCCCAAAAAACAAACAAACCAAACAAACAAACAGAAAAAGAAGAAAATTTCAGGTAAGTATGACAATCACCGGGCCTTAAAGACAATGTTGCGAATTTCCAAGGGCATGAAACAAAGATAGAGAACAAAATGAGCAATCCAATATGAGCCCACTAATTCAAATAAGCTAAATCAAAGATTAGTTTATCTACAAATCAAAATTCACATAGAAAAAAAGACCCAAAGTAATTTAACATCTCGAAATACTCCGGAAAGTTCACGGATTTATTCATAGAGGTGAGAAAGGACCTGGGAGAGTGCAAACGAAGAATGTAGACGATTTGGTGGAGTGATCTGCAAAGGGGAATGAGCCTGATGTGGCTCCAACAGATCGCAACATGGCCGACATTGAATCCTGTGTCTACGCACTGAACCTGTAAGAGAGAGAGAGAGAGATGGGAGCTGCAAGAGCTATATATACTGCGAAAGAGGAGAAAACTGTTGGTAAATTAGGGGAAATTCTGAAGGAAGACAGCAATGGCGATGATACCAAAGAGGAAGCCACCCGTTTTTTGTTGATGATTTTTTGTGTTCAATTTTCACTTATTATGTGATTGTTTTTTTCTTTTTTTCAAGGGTTTGCCACCTTTCTTCCTATAACAAAACGGTTTGCCAACTAATTTATGTTGCAGCCCAATTTAATTTTGGGCAAAAACATTTGTTAAATCACAAGTTTTTGTGCTAGCCGCAGCCGCAACTACATACATGATACATACTCTTAACTTTCACTTGGATATAAGATTTCTCATTGAATTTGTTGGTTTGGTTTGATTAAATTTGAACAATGTGGTATGGTTTAATTATTAGTGGGATTTTGAGTTAAAATTAAAATAATATTTAAAATAAAATAATTAAAAGTAGTTTGATGTAAAAGTAGAAAAGAAATTATGTGAAAATTAAAATGATGTGAGTGAATGAATAATAAATTAAAGTTGATGTAATGTGTAGGAATGATTGATTTATATTTTTTAATTATATTCATAATATAGAGGATAATTTAATTAGGTGAAATTTGAGTTAGATTTGAGTTTAAAAAAGTGATTGGTTAAAATATTTTTTTAGGATCACTTATATCCAAACATGCTCTAAGTGCTCGTCGTCTGTTTTAAAGGATGAGATTGGACTAAAATAGTGCAAAGGTGATAGATTGCACTGTTTGAATAAGTATAATCATGTTTGTTATGTATGATAAGTTGTGGGTAGCTTTTATCTTTAAAAAAATGTAATGTTTAATTAACCATAAATCAACCTTCATGTGTAAAATACTAATTTGTCCCTCTTGACTGAATTTTCTCCTAATTTCGTCCATTTCTCGTGTCTCCAACACGAGATTTTTGCTCCAAGATTTTTTGCTGTTGTTTTTGAACAATCGAGAATGAATTATGGCCATCTTCAAAGGACCCACTGCTCTCAATACCAATTGTAATGTTCTTGCTATTTTTCTGAAATTTTGTATTTATTTTCTGTAGTTTGTGGAATTTTTCTGGATTTTTTAGTGATTAAATGTATGTGTTTGTTGAAGGGAATAACTGCAGAAGTGGTGGGGAGGGAGAATGGGGAGGAAAACACGTGAGAGGGGAGGGCACAGAATTAGAATGGAGAGAGGAATTGGGGGAGACAAATAGATTTTGTGATATATTTCTTCTTCTACTTATTTTCACATTCCACCTATTTATAGAATTTCCTTACAAAAGTCTAACTATATTGGCCTACTTATATAAAAACTAAAGTCCAAGCCCATTATATACTCTCGGGGAACAGATTCAGTGGAGACGGAGTGGGGCCTGTAGCTCAGAGGATTAGAGCACTATCATAACATAAAGTAATATAAGATAACTAATTAAAATACTAATCTAATATGAGGACTATTGTCTCTATATCGGGTACATTAACACCCTTTTGACTAGTGCTGGAGGATTTGATTGGACTTTGAACATTGATATATCACATCCAACATATATGATTCACTCTTATTTCTTTTACTATATCTCATTCTCATTTGATTATCTCTCTCTCTCTAACACTACATTATTTTAAAACTTTTTTATTATATTTTCATCCTATCTCCTATTAGATGATAAATAATTGTCATCTTAATTCTTCTGTACTAAAATTTTGTCTAGGCGCGCGCCTAAACAGCACCTAGGCGCCACGACTTTTGCTTAGGCAGTTGTTCTAGGCACGCCAATGATTAGGCGGAGCCTAGAAGGGCTAGGCAAGCTACTTGTGCCTATGTGGGTTAGGCAGATGAGAAGGCGGTCTTTGCGGCTTCTAGGTGCCTGTATATTTTGTTTTCAAAACTATCAATTTACTTTTTAAAAAAATAAAAACAATTTTAATTTTTATGCATGAAATTTATATTAGTTATATAATAAAAATACTATTATTTATTTCATAATTTATAAAATAATTATGAATGCATAAGATATTGCATAATCTTTGTATTCAACCATATTAATTAATATATTTTATATAACATATCTTATAAACTATGAATCATGATAAATATCAATAAATTTATTAATATTCTTTTGACCTCGGCTAGGCGCTAGGTTCATGTCCACCACCTAGGGAGCGCTGGAACATTGCTTAATTTACTACGTCTAACATACCATGATTTGGTAAATAATAATATTAATAAATCATATGATTTTATTCGTATACTTTACCAACAAATTTTGAGTTCTGTGTTCTTTTATATGTTAATTAATTATATTTCAAATTATGATGAAACAAATTTTGAGTTTTGTGTTCTTTTATATGTTAATTAATTATATTTCAAATTATGTAGAGAATGATAAAACTAGAAATCATGGCATCTTTATATCGTTTTTTGCCAAAAATATTTGTGTGATTGATGTCCAAATATATTTCTTAAAAAGCTGCATTTTCTTCGTTTTAATTTCATCTCAAATAAACTTTTGTAGTACTTGCTACCTTGTCGAGACCGTAGCAGCCGACTGTGACCAGGCAGAGTTCGTGGTAGACAACTAGTTAGCTTAAGATTGATGTGCTCCTGCACTTGAACTGGCTTCCCTCCGCTCCTCAACCACTTCAAGACCTACAAAGACGCCGGGAGGGGTTCCCGGCGGTAAACCTCCGACGCTCAAGTCAGTCAAGGAAAGAGGAAAACTAGTTGCAGTATGAAGAGTTTTAGGGTTTGCAGATTGATCCCCCTTACCTGCTGCCCCCATTTACCTATTTATATGGAGTTATTTAGCTTCCTTCATACGCTTTGTTCTTCTTCCGTTGGATCATTTGTTCCACTTTGATCTTGACCTTACACGTGTTCTTTGTGGACCGCCTTTTATAACCACCTCCACATGTCGGTCCTCAGCTTTGTAGAGTATCACCACCGATTGACTTTTCCTTAAAAGACCCTTCTGATACACTGCACCGAGCTACTACTCTGACGAGCTCCTCACACTCTCAAGGCCTGCCAATAGGCGAGCTGCCATTGTGATGAGCTACTGGCCTCATTGCTAGGTCGAGCTGTTGTTATAACGAGCTAATGAGCCTCCCTGCTAGGACGAGCTAATGAGCCTCTCTGCTAGGCTGAGCAGTTACTAGGACAAGCTAATGACTCTCCCTGCTAGGCCGAGCTAATGAGAGTCTCTGCTAGGCCGAGCAGTTGCTAGAACGAGCTAATGAGCCTCCCTGCTAGGACGAGCTAATGGGCCTCTCTGCTAGGCCGAGCAGTTGCTAGGACGAGGTAATAAGTCTCCCTGCTAGCTAGGCCGAGCTAATGAGCCTCTCTGCTAGGTCGAGTTGCTAGGACGAGCTAATGAGCCTCCCTGCTAGGACGAGCTAATGAGCTTCCCGGCAAGGACGAGCTAATGAGCTTCCCGGCAAGGACGAGCTAATAGGCCTCCCTGCTAGGCCGAGCAGTTGCTAGGACGAGCTAATGAATCTCCCTGCTAGGCCGAGCTTATGAGCCTTTCTGCTAGGCCGAGCAGTTGCTCGGACGAGCTAAAGAGCCTCCTTGTACCTAGCTCTCCATATACCGAGCTCCCCTTGTACCTAGCTCTCCTTATACTGAGCTCTCACTGTAACTAGCTCTTCTTATACTGAGCTCTCCCTGTAACTAGCTCTCCTTATACTGAGTTCTCCTTATATTGAGCTCTCCCTGTAACTAGCTCTCCTTATACTGAGTTATCCCTGTAACTAGCTCTCCTTATACTGAGCTCTCCCTGTAACTAACTCTCCTTATATTGAGCTCTCCCTGTAACTTACTCTCCTTATACTGAGCTCTCCCTGTAACTAGCTCTGTCACAAGCCTAGCTACTCAGAGGTCCGAGCTATTAATATGGATGAGCTTCATCAAATCCATCGTCCCAGTTAACTCTAGTCCATAGACCGAGCTAGTATGTCTGGTTCTATCGAGCTATTCTTATGTGTTATATCAGAGTTCGTGGTAAACGACTAGTTAGCTTAAGATGGGGAGGTTTTTTATTCTATATTATGTAGTTTTTGTGTTTTATGCCAGTGTTTGTATTGTTTTATTGTTATATATTTTGTTTGTTGTTAATCTTCTTTTGTGTAAGTGTGTAAATTCTCATGTGGAATTTTTTCCTTATCCCTTTGTGTGTTTGTGTTGTTCAATTCCCGTGGTTGTCAATATAATCCGAAAAAAATGTAATTGTAATAATGTTTTCATTTTAATTAATTATATTGACAAAATTTAAAAAATGGTACACTAAAATGGCCGTTGGCCGAAAAGGATACATCTGGATTAAATGCTGATTTTTTTATTTAGTGTTCCATTTTATTGTCAACTTAAGAAATGACATGAATAATCCCGTCATCAATCGGAAATTCGATTTAAGTAAGCTAAATATTTATATCAAAATTGAGACATTTGTTTGAACCGTAGACATTCTCTCTTCAATAAGTAATTTGCTCACATTTTATTTTCTTAAATTAAAAAGCATTTTTAAACTTTTCTCATTTTTTTAACTGATTTCAACTATTAACA